TACGGAATGCTTCTGGAATCGGTTTTCCGAAGCACGATGAATCACCATCGATTTGTCCTCAGAAAAATCTTTCGCACTTTCGTGATCAAGACAGTGGAGATGTGAGGATTTTGGATATCCAGATAAGTAGAAACTGACTGGAGGCTGAGTACAGACTCTCGTGCGTGATACTAACGATGGCTTTGGCGATATTCATATCGAAAGGCATTTTTGAAGATTCCGACCGGAACCCAAATACATGATTAGGGTGTTCAATTTGCCAGGACAGCCGGGTTCTAGAGAAACCGAGTTACTGAAACCAAAAGAAAAGCATTTTTCCCGTCCGTGATTGCAGGCTTGCAAAGATCGTCATGCGGTCAGTTCTTACTGTACTGAGAACGTGTAAAATGGCGCACACAATTGGCGTCCATTCACTAAGCAGGGGGTGGTATGAAGACTGGGTTCAGAACTGATACTTGGTAATCTAGGAATGTAAATTTCCTCGCTGTTCTGGTATCAACTCTAGCGCTCTTGAAAGTTGCGAAAACTAATTAATCCAGCGGATTGCGTATCGTCGTTAGCTTATGGTTTGCGTGAACCCCAATCAACTGGGAAATTTAGTGGCCGGACCCTATTTATCCCATCAGGATCATTGAATGTCAAACTGGACAATATCCGAATATTGTAAGAAAAGGAATAGATGAGATGTTCAATTTGCCAATGCACCACGGCCATAACGAAAATTCGCCATTCAGCCTAGGCTACCGACGAAGAGTTCCTTAGCACTTTATCAAGTATACCCTGAATGACGAATCGATCATCCTTGATCCGAGATTAATTCAATAAACTTGTACGAGTTCCAAATCGCTGCACTCCCACTAGAGCCGTACACGCAAAGTACCGGTTCCGAAACATCAAATTGACCCGTTCGGCTCGAATTCGGAAAACTCCACATGATCAGAAAATTTGTAATCGCAATGGATTTGACTGAAACAACTGCTAGTTGAACACTCTAAACTATGAGACGGAGCGAATTACTAACCTCTTAATCAAGTGCTGTAATCCCACGCACTTCCGCTTTGATCTAGGAATGTTGCTGAGTGGTATACAACAGGACCCATGACCGCGGCTTCGGTTAACGGAGCTCTGAGACTTCAAAGATAAATGACGCCCCGACGGAGTATGCACGATATTGACTGGGATGGCAGTCATCTACTGTAGAAGTTGCTATTCAAGGGTGAGTCTCGATCCGGAATCGAAAAGATCGGTCGGTGGTCACCAAAAACGTCCTGAGCACCATCGTCCGGGTTTCCATAATCTCGCACACGCCGATTGTCTTGTGCAACCTTGTAATAACTTGGTACCCCTGTACCATTATGAAATGCAATCTTAACAGGAACCGGCCAGTGAATTCTAATGCAAGATCTACGTAGCCTCCACTCCATTCAATTGACAACAGAAGACAATAATCTTGTTTCATTGTAACAAGATCAGATTAAAATGACGCTGTCGATCGTTTCACAATCGATATATAAAACAGACAAACAGCGGGACTATGCCAGGCCAGTTTTATTCATCCGTTTATTAATTACTACAGGCCTCAACATCTACTAAAGGACGTTTATCGGGAGCAAGACAATACACGCTCCATCCGTCGATGCCAATACGCACACTGGCATCGGAACTCAACGTATGCAAACATTCCTTGTAGTAAACATCCACCCGGACGCAATGTTGCAGTTACATTGAAGTTTAAACCAGAGGTCTGGATAGATTTCAACGAATTCCCAAAAGCTAGATAGCAGAAATACTTACGAAAAGTCCATCAAGATCCCGATTAGGAGCACAAAAACGAGAAACTATTGTTTTTGTTTTTATTTTGTGTTGGATTGAGCCTAATCACTGTCGAAAGGCGTAAGTGGTTTATAATGTGTGCAAGTGTTGATGAATACGTGTATCGATGACTATAGTACAAAAACGTGATGTAGAGTCATGGAACGAAACAACTGCCCCACACCATTACCGAACCAACCTCAACTCCTGAACGCGAAGAACGAGACGTTGGATGTTTGTTAGTCCACCGATTTTGGACAAGGAGAGACGAGGTGTGGTTGATCGGATATGGTGAAAATGGAGCTAAATGGTAGCGTGTGGATTGCTGAATGAATGGTTTGGCGAATCGGTATGTGCAGTCTTGTACAAACGCTCGACGGGAGTGGGAGTAACAGGACACAGCAAATAGAGGTATGGAAAGTGATTGGAATGGTATCTGTACAGAACAACAGCAGTGCGAACAAGTGATTCTGACCAAGGAGGCAACAGCAAAGGCGCACACATGCGTATCTGGGGCGTGTGAAACGGAAGTTGATCGGAACTGGTGCCACAATGCCCAGAAAAAGAGGATGAACTGTTGGACGGAGTGTGTGGGAAACGACTTTGGAAATGAACAAGTCACGCACGTACACATTCCAATACAACATACAATGCGCAAAGAGAGAGCTGCACAGCCCCCGCAGATTCACGTCGCAGTGCATCATATACGAATGGAGGAATTACAGTATTTTCGATTTTTGGTTGTCGAACCAGGATCGGAAGTACATGTTCCTGTGCGCACGTGCTCGCGTAGGCGTATAAAAAAGAAAAAAATAATAACATGGAACGTGGACGGAAGACGGTCAACTATCTCCCCCACTTAAAAATATAAGATGTGGAGGAGACAGAAGTGTGCGCAGACCGAGTGAACTGGAGTGAGGGACAAGGTGGAAACAAACTGAGTGAAACTTCCCCTATGTTTTCGACAAAACAAGAAAGCGCCGGACAGGACAATGAGTACTGGTGGTGGTGACGATAGTGACCTGGGTAAACACGGCGTTCGCGAGTAGGATAGGAAAGTGAATTCCCAATGCTTGTCTAGACAGTAAACAGGTGGGATAGTTTTGAACGCCTGCGAATGAAGAAAGAGTGAAGGCTGTCATTCGCTTTTCGGCAGACTGAGTGCACCGACTCCGGGGAAATGACTGAAAGAAATGAGGACAGAAATACGCAATAGAAAACAAACTTATAAATCCAAAAAAAGAATGAATCAGAACATATTATTGTAGCAACTCAGACTATATAGAACGACTCTTCGGTGAATCCAAAGTCGCACGAATGTTGTGGAAGTAACTCAGCACCAGTAAAAACTACACTACTGGACGGAATTCACCAATTCACGAACATAAGCCACACATTAGATCCTCACGGACTACAGCCTTAAAAAACAATAACTTTCACTATGAACTCCAGTGAAACAAAACAGATAAAGGTAAACCTCATCTGGAGTTTGTCTTTCGATGGTTCTACGTCTGCTCAATGATCGCTCTGAGTGAATGTTGACGCAACGTGTTTCAGCATAGTCACTGTAAGTGATTATTTTGATGCACCAAGTAGTTCGCCATTTTGTAATTAATGCTTTTTTTCATTTGCGCTGTTTGTATGGTCGACCTCAAAGTCGTCTGACAATTCATCATCCAGAAAAACAACACGGAACCCTTGTCATTGAGAGCTTACTGCTATGGTAGCATTTTCAATCTGCATACTCATACAGTCGACTCATCTTTCAATTTTTACTTACAGTATACATTCAAGACAGCATCGCCATGGAAAATCCGGATTCCAGAAAGACTGATTATCCACATCAATTAATCGCACAAAACAGAAATCACAATATAACTAACCTAGATGCTGGGGAGCGCTCCACTCGCTTCAAAATTCCCATATGAAAGATAAATATCTCAAAAGGTGAACTTGAAAGTTATGGGTGGAAATCCTGATCGAACCGTGCGATTAAACTGTTTATTACTTGCCAGACGATTTTGAAGAAACAAGATCAGTATTGGCAATAGAACAGCAAGACAATGCAAACACCCGAACGAAATAAGAAGTCCTAGGATCAACACTGTCTCATGAGCAGTCGTGAGACTGTAACCAACACCCGGTTTTTCATTACACACCTTAGTGATGAGCAGCAGACGGGATGAACCCCATAGT